GAGTTAGAATTGGACTTCAGAGAGCTGTATCCCAAACTATTTGACTAAGTGAGAGGTTTACAAATTTGAAGGACCAAAGTTTTCTTAAAAGGGGAGAGTTGTAATACCCGAGTCAGAAATTTGGTACGGGATTAATTTTCGTGTTGTAAAAATTATTAAAAAATTAGTTTAATTTAATTTTGTTAAATTATTTAAAAAAATTATGTTATAGACATAATTAAAAGCAATTTTGATAAAAATGGATGAAAATTTAAGTTCGGGAAGTATTTTTGAAACAAAAATTTAAAACAAATGATCAATGCAAAAAGAAAAAATTTAGTCACATGAGATGACCCAGTCAATAGCCCCGACAAACCATAGCATGTCGCGTAGTAAAACACGCTAATATTGGTGTCACACGAGCGATCTGCGTGCCTAACGTTCAGATGATCCAGATTCGATCTAGCGTGTGTATACGGTTCAGATGCATTCCCTCCTTAGGTGTGATCGGACGGAGGGATCAATCATGATGAACGGCTCAGATTTTCCTACGCAATCGGCCTAAAGAGGCAACGATTGAATGATTTTCCTCACTCCACGTCGACACGAATGGATAGTCCAGATTGACACAGAATGAGTATATAAATATCGCGTCGTAGGGAAACCCTAACCTTAGTCGTCCTGCCCTCACTGGAGAAGGACTAGCCGTTGGAAAAGGAGACCGACCCCTAGTCGCCGCTGCATCAGAGCCATTGCCGACCGCCAAAAAAGGTAAAATTCGTTGATACCCACTCGAAATTTGATTTTAAGTCTCTTTGTGGCCATATCAAAGAAAAACTGTGGGTAAAGCTCAACAGAGGTATCGCGGTCGAAACCCTAAAATTCCTCCGATGAGCCCTTTCCCGCTTCCCTTTTCACAAAATTTTTCAACCATTATATTCACTGTCCTTTTTTGTGTAGGTTAGCCGAACAAGAAACCCCAGCCGCGAAGGAGAAACGGCGAAGCCTGCTGCACTCAGAGACCCCCCTGTTGGTAGGTTCGATTTTTTGTGATTTTTTGGCTAACCGAGGCCTCGTAACGTATTTTTTGCAGGGATACATGTAAAACCGACCAAAACTAGCAAGAACCGACCAGACTAAGGCAAACCACCGCTGCAGGTGGTAGAGCTGGCACCGGAGCACGGCGGGCGCCGCCTTGCGGGAATTCTAAAATTGGCCGAAAAGAGTTTTCGACACCGATTTAGGATTTTTGAGGTATTTTTAGTTGCGTGATGAATATTTTGGATTCTCGCAGAAAAATTCAAGAAATCTAGAACTTGTTAGGAGACAATATGATGTCTCGAAATGCCAATTCGGATAAGAATCTTTCACTCTATTCTCGATTACAATAAATTAAGGATCAATAATCGATAATTATGTGTTTTGAGAAAAATTAGAAAAACTTTCAAATATTACAGGTCATTAGTGGAGGTAGAACCGATTAGTTCACATTTGTCATGATTCCCTATTTATTTTTCAGTACTGTCTATATTTGCTTATTATTATACTGTGCGTAATTGAATTGATAGTTTTTATGGTCATTTCGGTTATTTAGTTATTTGGTTCTTTCTGCATTATTTATCTGGTATTCTGGTTATTAGTTATTTAATTATGTTAAACTATATCGTTTGTTTAAATGTCATTTGAATTAATCTGTAAATATGAGATGAGATGTTGACATACTTTAATGGTTGTTTGAATGATAAGAGTCTAAATAAATGAAAGCTTATTGGCCATCTTAGAAAATGGTGGACGGATCCGATACATAAAAAATCATATTGTGGACATTACTTCAGTCGTACAGGACTGCGAAGTCCCATACCTGAAGGATTTTAGGAGATA